CCTGAAAAGAAAAGCCTACTCGAGAGGTCAACAGCAGAAACGCGTGCATAAGGCCCTATGCAGCCGGCGGCTTGGTCACAAGGGAGAAGCGGGATGTGACAGCTACGGCCCTGGTCTGAATTCACATACTATCGTAACTGCTTTTTATGACTTCACATCTACGCGTTTAACTTAAAAACGGCTGTATAAATCTTCCTGATACTATCGATTATACAAGGGAACCTTATCGAAAAAAAGGCGATATCTGTCAGTTCTCCCACGAGAAAATTCTGAGATGGCCATGAGAACTAGTGAAAAGGAGGGAGAAAAGGCTTTGAATAAAAATTCAAAGTATGTCCGACTGCTCAAACTACCACCCGGTAGAGATATTTAAGAATGCTCTAGCATTCTGGTAACAAACCGGCAGGCTAAGATGACCGCATGCAATGACCTACTTATAGCATAGTGACCGCGGTGGAGCCTCCTTATTGGTAAGTCAGATATGGATCGCATATACCCCCAAAAATAACCTAAATATTTAAAACACTGGAACTTTTACATTTAAAAATCTTGACAGTTCTTCAAACTGTTACATTTAAAAATCTTGACAGTTCTTCAAACTGTCCATTTACCCAATCACAAAACATCTTCTCTGTGGGCTTACCTGGTGGGCAGGGTCTGCAGGATTCTGTCATGATATCCAGGTAGTTTCCTGCCGAGCAGGAAAATGCTGAAAAGCAGTATTGAGCTGCTAAATTCTAAAGGTACTATGTAACAACTCACAGCAATTAAGGCCCTTCGTGGGTTCCGGCAAACCGTCACAGACGGTACCATGAAGAGGCACAGCTACTCGCCACCGAGAGCCATCTGGACCACATTCAGTGTATTCGAAGTCGTAGTCAGAAGGAACACAACGCCGAGCTGTGGCCAGTTGTGGCAAACATAACAACAGAAGCCTGAAAAATTTCAGCTCGAAGTCATTGCTCGATATTACGATTCCTTTTGCTTTCCGGTTGGTTAGGATGTTTAAAACCTAATACAGATATCGGTTTTCATAAAAAAAAGTTTTAAGAGCGTGTCTTCACATTACAGACATATTATAGTGCCCACTGATTTTCGGGTCGATCAGAAATGCGTACTCATCATGGCGGGACCAGTGTCAAGACCAAAAGCTAAAGGTTTCAAGATGACTACTGGTAACCCCTGCCTTTAGAGGAGGACATTGAGGAGAGGTTCTGAAAACTTGATAAGCAAACTCTGATCCACAGTTAGACTGGCTCACTCCAATTTTCACCCATAGGGCCCTGGTGAGAAAAAGGCTAGACGTACCGAACTAAAATGACAGAATGTCAGCATAATGAAGGCGAAAAACTAGCCTTCTGCTACAGTAGGCTTTGAATCACCGATTATTAAAATACCATTAGAAAAATCAATTTCGACTATTAATGGGAATCCGCTTATAGGCCGTTCCGGACACTAGCCCGGGAGGGAATGTGATATCAAAAAATGGATGAAAAAAATGTCAACCGAAGTATAAGTTATAGATAAAAATGAAAGTGGTCAGAAGACAGCAGAACTCCCCCTTTCACAGATTGGTGCAGCTAAATACGAGAACAAGTTATATTAGGTGGTTGATCACTTGAACTAGGGAGATTCAGGAAATTAGAAAATGAATTAAGGGGGCCACTTGCCTCGGTCTGCACATCGCTTCCGAAGATGATTAGAATTCGCCTGTAAATATTCCCAAGATGTAATAGGTCTGGGCGGGGTATGGATGGAGAGCAACACGATGGCCACAGTGCAAGTTCTTGGTTCAAGTATCGTTTGAAGCAGACGTTGTGCCCGTAATTCATAAAGCTCATAGGAACACAAAAATTCTATTTTTCCACACAGCAGGTAGGAAGAATATCGGTTGCTGTTTGCATTTTACCCTCTCCTTTCCGCGGGTGCCTGAACTTCTCCCCGAATTCCCACGGCAAGCGGCAAAGGTCACGCGACGACTACCCTATCCCTGCACTGGTAACTCAGACCTTTCCCTTCAGAACGCGTGACAGCGCGCGATCGGTTGCGGCGAACGCGACGACGTTTTCGGGGAGAAAATACCGAACCCCCTTTCCGCAACTAATTTTTGCTTATGTGGTTCTTTGATTGAGGCTTTTTCTAACCCCGTTAGTCAAGCAGCCCAGATTATGTCAATTAAAAGTGAAACCAACCTTAAAAATCAAACCAGCAATGTGACTTTCGCCGATGCGCAGGGAAAGAATAAGGAAATCAAAGCATTAGGTGAATCACTGCAAAAATTCCAACAATGCACATAACAATGAGCCTGATACTACTGCAAATAGATTGCCTCGTCGACTGATTAAGTGGGAATGGTCCTCGTGAGCTTGAAAAACATCGACGCATAGAGGAGAAAGTAAACAGACCCTTTCTAGAAAAGAAATATTGGAGGACGCATGAATTGACTGGGCATTCTCAGACAACGTGCTGGGCACTGTTAGTCGCTACATTTATGAGGGGAATGCTTATTCACTTTGGCAGTTGTCTGGGAATGATTCAGTCGTCTCAGCTGCGGTGCTACAGATACCGTACGAAATTGTCTAACAATAGTTGCAATGCTTTAAACTATCAGGGAGATGAAGGTCGGGAACGAGTCGGTAAAGTTAAAACGCAAAGGGTCGTCAAAAACAAATGGGAAGTGATTTCGACAGCTGCTCTTGGAAGATGCACTAGTCACAAGTGGAGTAGGGAAGCCAGAACGACATGTTGTGGTTAAAAAAGGGCATAGACAACCAACAACAGCTGAATCAGATGGTCCGAGCCGCTGCACCCACAAAGTCAGATATGTTTCGGAGCGATATTTGCTATCAGTACT